TCTCCATCTTCCTCCCTTCCTCATCCCCCTCCATCTTCCTTCCTTCCCTCTTCCTCGCTTCCTTCTCATCCCCTCTCCATCTTCCTCCCTTCCTCATCCCCCTCCATCTTCCTTCCTTCCCTCTTCCTCGCTTCCTTCTCATCCCCTCTCCATCTTCCTTCCTTCCTTCCTCATCCCCCTCCATCTTCCTTCTTCCTTCCTCCCTCCCTCTGCCTCCCTTCCTGCTCATCCCCCCTCCACCTTCCTTTCCCCTTCCCTCCCACTTCCTTCCTCCCTTCCTCATCCCCCTCAATCTTTTCCTTTCTTCCTCATTCCCCCATTTTCTTCCTTTCCCATTTCCCCTTCATTCCTTCCTCATTCCCCCTCCCTCTTTCCTCCCTTTTCTTTCTTTCTTTCTTTCTTTCTTTCTTTCTTTCTTTCTTTCTTTCTTTCTTTCTTTCCCATTTCCCTAGTCTTCATCTCTTCACTCTCATTCCCCTTCTGATCAGCCAGACTTCAGGCTGTGTGTGGCTCATTGCTGTTGGTGCAGGTCATTATTGTGAGCATGCTCTATTAGTCTATTCTATTATTTCACAGGGCCTCTACATGTACTAGGCACACGCGGCTCTGGTAAGTCACACCCTGTTGTTTCTGACCCTAGATTGGAGGCGAGTGTGAGTAGCTGCCATCTGCCTATGTTGAGTTCTATTTCTGTCAGTATTGGTGCATGTGGCTTCGGCCTCCTCTCCCCATGACTGTTTTGCCAGTAAAATGACTGGCTTAAAGGTCCATGGGGAACAAGCGCAAAAAGGACATGAATGCAGCTGAAGCAAACTCATTAAAAAATCCAAATGCATATTCCTAGCATTGCTTCTTGCATTACTTGCCCAGCTCTGGTAAAAAAAGGCCAGTTGGTTGTAAGGAGACAGCATGATACTGATAAACTCGGGTTGTGTCAAGGGAAGTTTTAAGCTTGTGATAGCTATGTGATCTTTATCTAAAGAAATGAGACAACCCTTTGAGGTAAGGAGCTAGTTTTCCTAAGGCAGACTGTGTTTCTCGGAAAGCAGCAAGGTGATAGAAACCACTCTTATATCCAACCTACTGGCTGGAGACAGGGATAGGGATGCATTCAATTTCCTTTCTGTTGATCTCTGTACCTTTTACACAGATTAAGGCAGATGAAGCAACAGTCCAAGTGCATGTGTTCAGACAGGAGGCTGGTACAGCTTGAATCCATATAGATTTCTAAGACTTTTTAGTTTTATCATGATTTTATTCTCCATTTCTAATTTCCTGTGTGTGAGCCACCATATCTTGATATTACTCAGAGCATGAAGCAATCTGAGTGAACAGAAACACAGAGTGAAGGTACATGTCTTCTCTAACATTACAACTATTCACCTCCATCCAATCAGTTTATCTGTAACCTGTAGGAATGGTACAGGTTACAGAAGAGATGGGATTAAAAGAGAAAGGCATGAACTTAATTTCTTGGTTGCCCTGTGCAGGCAGAACAGATCCCTTGTGCTGCTGAAAATTCCAGCTACACCCAGGTTGAATGCTCCTGAACATTCACAGAAATTTAAGAACATAGCAATTGCCAGATTGGGTCATATCCAGGATCCACCTCATCCATCATCCTGTCTATGACAGTGACCAGCGCTAGCTGCTTCAGAGCAAGGTGTAAGAACCCTGCAGTAGCAGCTATGGGATCATTTGCCACTCCGCCCCCACATTAGGTCTCCTCCTGATCTCTAATAGTTAGTGATTGGCTTAAGCCATGAAGCATGGATCCAAGTGTAATGCACCTGCTGCCCAGAAGAAGGTAGGTGCCAACAAGAACGAGTTTGGTGGAAGTGAAGTTGTGGGTATTTTGTGATGGACTCTGTAGAAACACCTATATACACAGAGTCACCAGTAAAGGAGTTAAATGCACCCTGTTCTGCAGATTAAATACACTCTGTACAAGGGCAGAGGCTAGGTAAAAGAAAAGTTTCCCACAGGGATGAACATGTGGTCTGGGTAACAATATAACCCTACCCATTGGAAAATCTATTAGTTGTGATAGAGGTGGATATTAGCAGAGCATGGTCTTTGCCTGTCCATACGTAGAATGCACTTGCAGCTCTTTCACAACCATGCCGGTGTCTGGGTGCTGGCACGAGCAGCGCCAGGGTTTTTGGCGCCTTAGGAGGGGGTCCTTCTGCGCTCCCGGTCGTCGTTGGCAATTCTGCAGTGGGGGGGGCCGTCCGCGCCCCCCGGATTTGGGGCACTTCGGCGGCGGTCCCAGAGCGAGCGAAGGACCCGCCACAGAATTGCCGCCGAAGCCCCACAGCGCGGAAGGCCCCCCTGCCGCCGAATT